ATTACATATGTGTCCTTATCCCCACGTTATCCCCTACCCGCCCCCCCTGCTCATGCCCTCACCACCCCCCCGCCCAGTTGTCCATGTCCATTGGTTAGGCCTATATGCTTGCATGTAAGTGCTTTGATTGATCTCTCCCTCTTACCCCCACCCTCCCCTACCTTCCCTCCAAGGCCCGACAGTCTAATCAATGCCTCTCCGTCTCTGGATCAGTCCTTGTTCATCAGTTTATGTTGTTCATTATATTCCACAAATGAGTGAGATCATGTGGTATTTATCCCTTAAAGAATATCCTTCAGCATTTCATATAATCCTGGTTTGGTGGTGATGAACTCCTTTAGCTTTTTCTTGTCTGTGAAGCTCTTTATCTGACCTTCAATTCTACATGATAGCTTTGCTGGGTAGAGTAATCTTGGTTGTAGGTTCTTGCTATTCATCACTTTGAATATTTCTTACCACTCCCTTCTGGCCTGCATGGTTTCTGTTGAGAAATCTGCTGACAGTCATATGGGAACTCCCTTGTAGGTAACTAACTGTTTTTCTCTTGCTGCTTTTAAGATTTTCTCTTTGTCTTTAGCCCTTGGCATTTTAATTATGATGTGTCTTGGTGTGGTCCTCTTTGGATTCCTTTTGTTTGGGGTTCTCTGCACTTCCTGGACTTGGAAGTCTATTTTTTTCATCAGGTAGGGGAAGTTTTCTTTCATGATTTCTCCAAATAGGCTTTCGGTATCTTCCTCTCTCTCTTCTTCTGGCACCCCGATAATTCGGATGTTGGTACGCTTGAAGTTGTCCCAGAGGCTCCTTACACTATCTTCGTATTTTTGGATTCTTTTTTCGTTTTGCTTTTCCAGATGGGTGTTTTTTGCTTCTTCGTATTTCAGATCTTTGACTTGATTCTTGGGATCCTCTTGTCTGCTGTTGGATCTCTGTATATTATTCTTTATTTCAGTCAGTGTATGTTTAATTTCTGACTGGTCCTTTTCCATTTGTTTGGCATTCTCATTAAGGTCCTTGAAGGTCTCACTAAGTTCCTTGGAGGTCTCACTAAGTTTCTCAGAGGTTCGTAGAAGATTCTTGAGTAATCTTATAACTGTGGTTCTGAACTCTATGTCCTCCATTCGTTTGCTTTCCTCCATTTCTTTCATTTGTGACATGTTTCTTTGTCTTCGCATTTTTGGCTGACTGCGGGGACCCGCTGTGTCTATAAGAAGAACTGCTACAGCAATACCAACAGATTTCTCTGCTTTGTTTGTAGTTTGGAAGTTTTGGAGCTCTCTGATCCAGCTGCAGTTTGTTCGGCTGAAGCGCAGGTGCCTCCTTTGTGCTGCTGATCACAGCTTGGGAGGGGATATGAATAGAGTGGGGCGGGGTCTCAGGAAGACACCAGGGCGGAGCAAACAATGGTGTCCTCACGTCTCCACAACTGGGACTCGGACTCCGCTCCACGTTTTCCGCGAGTGCCGCGCCTCCCACCGCCACAAAGATCCCCTCCCAGCAGCTCCGTGAGAAAGTCACCTCGCTTTCTCCCCGTAGGAGCCTGGGACCCCAGCGTCTCGCCATAAATGAGTTCAGTGCGTTCGAGAGCTTGTATCCCCTTGCAATTGAAAGAAACCGCGCACCCAGGTGCAGCAGCCTCGTGCATGCCTCTGTACCTCTGTTCTTGGCGCCACTCCCCTCCTACTCGGTCTCAATGCGCTTTTTTCTTTCCTTCTAGTTGTAGAACTTCCACTTGGTCAGCTTTCCCGTGGTCCTGGATGATAGCTGTTTTGTCTTATAGTTGTGGTTTTAATGTTGTTGTGGGGGGCGGCACGTACAGGTTTGTACCTTATGCCGCCATCTTGGTTCTCTTTTCAATAAAATATATTTAAAAAAATAGATAAATAAAATAAAACCTCTAACCCTGATAGATTATGGATTTTAACATATTTATATATAACATACCTAAGAATGGAATTTAATCCTTTTAGTATATTGACAAGTATTTTATTTTTAAAAAATACATCTTTATTGATTTCAGAGAGGAAGGGAGAGGGAGAGATAGAAACATCAATAATGAGAGAGAATCATTGATTGGCTATCCCCTACAGAAACTGGGATCGAGCCTGCAGTCTGGGCATATGCTCTGACCAGGAATTGAACTGTGACCTCCTGGTTCATAGGTCACCACTAAACCACTGAGCCACCAAGGCTGGGCTTGACAAGTATTTTAATGTGCTGGCAAATAAAATTCAGTCCAGAATTAAATCTCAATGCTTTACTAAAGTAGCCACTTTAGAGTATATACAATGTGAAATGCTATTTTCCTCTGTATTTTCATTGTGAAAAAAAGGTGTGGGGGATTTAATCAAATTCTTAAAAACAACAATAATGATAAAAATAAAGTAGTCACTTAGGTTCTTTGATACTTTTAAAAAAGTATGTTCTTTCTGTCCTTTTAGTTCTTCAAACGCAATTTCTATCATTACTTTTCCAGGCTTCCCCTTCCCATTCAGAGCAAGGATGGGCAGTTTCCTCCCCATCTGGCTTGTCCTGTGGTCCTAAGGAGAATGCTCTGTGGGAAGGAAGGTCCCATTTGCCGATGTAGCACTTACAGCGTTCCCGAAGTGACAGACCTGGAGTATGATCACCTTATAAACCAGCAACTGTCCTCCATGGACCAGATTATTATAGTCTATGTGTTCTCAGATAAGGAAAAGGACAAGACTATGAAGGAAGTGAACAAAGTGTACAGGGAGCAGAATAAAGCTAGAAACATGCCTTGTACTCAGGTAAGTGTCATGTGTATAAAGAAAAATTGTGAAATAATGTTGACTTGTATGTTATATCTTAATACAGTTCCTCAGCCACACTAAGGCTCATGGAAGGAATGCTGCCGCTCCCTTCTGAGGTTTGACCTTATGTAAGAAAGGTCACAAGTCTTAAGGGTATATAGCTTAGTGAATTTTTACATATGTATATGTCTGTATAATTACCATCCAGAGCAAGATATACTAATAGACTATTTCCAGGCCCCAAAGAACTTCTTGTGCCTTCTCAGTCAGTAAATCACCCACAGAGCCCTAGCCAGTTTGGCTCAGTGGATAGAGTATCAGCCTTTGGACTGAAGGGTCCCGGGTTCGATTCTGGTCAAGGGCGCATGCCTGGGTTGTGGGCTCAATCCCCAGTAGGGGGTATGTAAGAGGCAGTCAATCAATGATTCTCTCTCATCATTGATGTTTCTCTCTTTCCCCCTCTCCCTTCCTCTCTGAAATCAATAAAAATATATTTAAAAAAATAAATAAACCACCCACCTACCCACACACAGGTAACCAGTATTCTGACTTGTATCACCATAAGCTACTTTTGTCTGTTCTAGGCCTTCCTATACTAGTACATGGCATCACACAGTGTGCACATTTCAAAACACACAGTACATTTTTATGCTTCCTCTGCCAGAGAATGGAAATGGTAAGTCCAAGTCATGCCAACGTCTTTCAATTCTGCATCCTTGGCAGACATTACTAATCTATCATTCTTGTCAACTGAGCCTAGACTGGACCCTAAACTCTTACTTTGATTGCACGCCAAGTAGCCTCTGCCAGTAGGTCTGAAGTAGGCACTCATAAAACCTCTTCCACACGATAGCCGTTACCCTCAACACATTTAATAAGTCTTTATGTCTTATCGATTCTGTCCCTGAGACATTTTTTCCTAGTTGTCCCTTTTTTTCAATCCCATTGCTTCTGCTTATTTTAGACCTTTACCATCTCCCACCTGATGTTCTCCAATAAGTTGCCTAATTTTCCTGCTTCTGATCTTAGTCCCTCTGACATTTCCTACATGTTGCAGGGTATTATTTTTAATATCTGAAGATGACTGCATCATTCTGCTTAAAACCCTCTAAGGCCTTCTCTTCAGGTCAAGTCCAAGTTCCTTACCTGACATTGAGGGCCCACTCCCACTGGGGCTCTTCCCTGCATGTTCAGGTCCCTACTTCAACCTCAGTGATAGCCTCAGGGGGGACTTTAAAGAATGCTTAGGGACCCTCAGGTCTTGTTCTCCATCAGGTTGAAGCACATGAAAGCTGAGAGTTGGGCTTTGTCACCCTTTGCCAAACTGCTTCCAATAAGTTGCCTTTTTAGGATGTTGCCCTGAATATACCCTGTGCTTATTTTAAGGGGTGTTACATTATTTGCTACAGGCCTGGTATAACCTGTGTGAAGCCCAGTGTGGAAATTGTCTCCCTGAATAAGAAGCTAGAAAGCTTTTCTCCCCATGAGGATCTGGTGTGTGCCCTCTTTCCTGTCCATGAGATTTTGGTGCCCTACTGGGTTCCTCTCTTCACTTTGCCTTAAAGTATAGAACAAGCCCTAGCTGGTTTGGCTCAGTGGATAGAGCGTCAGCCTGCAGACTGAAGGGTCCTGGGTTTGATTCTGGTTAAGGGCACATGCCCGGGTTACGGGCTCAATCCCCAGGAGGGGGCATGCAAGAGGCAGCCGATCGGACTATTGTGCCTTCTCTCTCATTATTGATGTTTCTATCTCTCCCTCCCTCTCCCTTCCTCTCTGAAATCAATAAAAAAAATGTATTTTTAAAAAGTACAGAATGTTTTAGACTGAATTATAACAATAGGGTAAAAAATTACTTACCACTTGTCTGAAACCCATTTTTTCTTTTGGATCTAGAACTTCTGTTTATATTGAAATTTTCTCATCATGATTTTTATAATTCATAATTTTCTCTTACACAAGTCTTCCTTCAAACCACTTTAGGTGTTTTCCTTAAAAGGCAAATTGTAAACAAACAACCCAACTTAAAATGTAAATTTTAACGAAGGAAAGATTATTTTTTCTAGCAGAATTGAGAGCAATCTTGCAGGGAGGTGACATGACATTTTGTAACTTTGAAGGTGAAGAGAGTCCGGGCATAACTGGCTAGGAAACCTATGCTTCCAAAAAGTAGATTCTTTTTTTTTTAAATATATTTTATTGATATTTTACAGAGAGGAAGGGAAAGGAATAGAGAGCTAGAAACATCGATGAGAGAGAAACATCCATCAGCTGCCTCCTGCACACCCCCTACTGGGGATGTGCCCGCAACCAAGGTACATGCCCTTGACTGGAATCGAACCTGGGACCCTTCAGTCCGCAGGCTGTCGCTCTATCCACTGAGCAAAACCGGCCAGGGCAGATTCTTTATTAGATCATAAAAAGGAAAGGAATGATCCTGTACCAGGGACCCTAAAGGAATCCAAATAAGAATGTGGACAGTTATAAAACACAGAAAACTCACCCAAGAACCTCAGTCTCCTACAGAAGGGTTGCCTGGCATTCATTCTCTTTCATTCCACCTTACCAGGGGACCCTGGCCTCTTGCATGGTGCTGAAATTGTTGAACTGTACTTGGAAGCTGAACAGCAGTGGGAATCACTGGACACTCTGGTAGAAGCTTCAAGGGTATAGATAAAGCTCCTGAAAGGGTGGCCTGAGCCACAGAGGGTGTGGGGTAGGTTCTGGGAGCACAGGATCTGGGAGTAGCAGCCCCACCCTCCCAGCCTGCTTTGAAGCTGGATTCCTCTGCCAATAGGAAGGAAGGAGGTTCTTGATGGCAGGATAATGTCTTGTTCTCAAGTATAGCCCCAGTGCCTATCATGGGCCTAGCACATGGTTAACACTTAAAACACACTTGTCAAATGAATAAATGAACCAATCAATGAGTGGATGATTCTTCAGCCTGAGGGTCGGATATGGGTATATGGTCACTGCTAATTCTTTTTTGGTCTCGTGGGAGGTGCTTCTGGGACAGTGAGCTTGTGAACTGAGCTAGGTCTCCCCTGAAGAGAGACAAGCAGAGTGAATAAGAGACCAAGACCTAAATCAGGAGTTCAACTTCTCACTGGAGTGACAACAATACACATTAAATCCCAAGGGCTCTGCCATCCTCGGTGCAGACAGTGCTCCCCCAACATCTGGTATCTAATAGACACTCAGTCAATGTTTGCTGAACTGATCAGAAATGCAAAGTCAGAATAAGATCAATAGAGCAAATATTTATTGAGCACTTAACATCATTTAATTCTCAAAAGAATCCTAAGCCCTAACCGGTTTGGCTCAGTGGATAGAGCTTTGGTCTGCAGACTGAAGGGTCCCAGGTTCGATTCTGGTCAAGGGCATGTACCTTGGTTGCGGGCACATCCCCAGTAGGGGGTGTGCAGGAGGCAGCTGATCGATGTTTCTCATCGATATTTCTAACTCTCTGTCCCTCTCCCTTCCTCTCTGTAAAAAATCAATAAAACATATTTAAAAAAAAAGAATCCTAAGTGGCTGGCTTTTCTGCATATGAGTCCATTGAGCACAGGTCTGTTACTGAGACACAGGACAGTGAATCACTTGTCCAGGATTCCTCGGTTAGGAAGTGGTGGGGCTGGGGTTCAGACCATGGGGTTGTACTCTAGGACCCATGCTCCTAAGCACCCCACCATGCCACATAGTGTGTGGAGTAGAAAGTGGCTTCGGGAGCAAGAGTGGAATACAATGAGGTGATTGGATTGGGAAGAAGGTGCCACACTTACTCATGTGGGGGAAGGAGATGAGGAAAGGTTTTTGCATGCATTCAGTAGGCACAAATAGTAGTTAAAATGATGAATCACCAAGGAGGGTGTAAAGAGAATGAATGGCAAAAGGCAAGCTTGGAGATTTTTGTACAGTAGATACCTAGAGATCAAATAGAGAAAAAGCTGTGCCTGACAAAGACTAGGGTGGGAGATAGAGAGGAATGGGAAGAAAACATAAGAGTGGGGCCACAGACTCCCAGGAGAGAGTTTGAGAAGGGGGAACTGTTTGATAATTTCAAATGCCATAAAAAGGTCAAATAATACAAGAAACATGAAAATGTCCACTGGCGTTGGCAATACAACGGCTATGAGGAGCTTATGAAGGCATTTCTAATGGAGCAGTGGCAATAGAGTCTAGAATTATTGGTTCAGAGATACAAATACTGCTGAATAGAACAAAAGGTTGGTTACCTGGGATATAATGTCTTTACCACTTTTTCTTTTTTTTTTTTTAAAGAGTCGTTTGGATTCCTTTCGATTTCTCAAATACAACATAATCTCTGCATCTAAATTTACAGGCAGCAATTATCCACTTCTGGTTCAAAGGCACAATGTCACTCCAGGAATTTTTTTGGTAGGTGCTTTGAGACATATGACCCTTTTAACCGACTGTTGTGTATGATGCTTGCATGGCTTAGAGATCATTCACAGAGTGCACAAAAGGCTAGAGAGAATGCAGAAATAGGTCAGCTCAAATCACAACCTTCTGTGGTACCCCCAGACTAAAGGTCTTCTTATAAATGCAGGTCTTCTTATAACTGTTAGATTATCTGTATGGCCAACCACTCTAATGAAGTTAAAAATTAGATTCTCTGTTAACACTGAGGTGGCCAAAGAATTCACCTTGTGAATTAATATGGGATTATAAGTGCTAAATTTTAATTCTTGTGTTTAAGAAGCTTATAACCTAATTAAGGAGATAAGATATAGAAGATCCATAATTTAAGACTAAATACGTAGACAATAATAGTGTGGTGATTGCTAGGGGGCTCATGGGGTTGGGAGGTGGAGGAGGGTAAAGGGAGGGTAATTGGTGATAGATGGAGACTTGACTTGGGGTGGCGAACACACAATACAGTATACAGATGTTGTGTTATAGAGTTGAACACTTGAAATCTGTATGGTTTTATTAACCAATGTCACCCCAATAAATTCAATAAAAAGGGAAAAAAGGCTGAATAGAGTAACTACCATAAATGAGACAGCCTAATCCGGTAGAGAAGCATGAACTTTAAAGCAACAGACTTGAGTTCAAACTTTGGTTCTACTACTTTCTTTACTATGTGACCACGGCCAAATTACTAAGCCTCTCTGGGCCTGTTTGCTCCCTTAGCCTCTCTGGGCCTGTTTGCTCCCTTACAAAAGGGGAAATGATAACCAATTTATAAAATTGTAAAAATTCACTTATTTCAATTCTTGGCACTTATTTCAATTCTTGGCATCTCGTGAGCATTTAATAAATGTTAATTTCCTTCCACTAATTTTCCTATTCAACAAATGTTTATTGAATGTCTGCTTGGATACAAAAATAAAAAAGCTACAGTCCTTCCTGACAAGGAGCTCCTAGTCCAATGGGGAGAGCTGCAATCTGAGACTTCTTGTAATATGTGAGCTGGGATCCAAAGATGGGAGGGATTTTGATAGAGGTAAGAAGAAGGAGGAGAGAGAAGTTTCAGGGAGAAGGGAATATTAGTAAAGGGGAAGGTTTGGAGCACAAGGTACCTGGAGACTTGGTTTTTAGTCCTACACCATCCACTCTAACCAGCTGTATGTGTTTGGGTTAACCTCAACTGGAAGAGGAGAGGACTGGATTAGACCAGTAACTCCCAACCCTAGCTGATGCCTTAGGTGCATGAAAAAAAATATTTCTGGGCCTCACACTAGAACAATTAAATCAGAATTTATGTGGGTGAAACCCAGCATTCTCTCTTAAAAAAAATTTTTTTAATGTTTTAGTTGATTTTTTTAGAGAGAAATGGAAGGGAGAGAGAGAAAAACATCCATCTGTTGCCTCCCATTGGTGATCAAACTTGCAACCTGGGTATGTGCCCTGACTGGGAATCGAACTGATAACCCTTTGACCCTTTGGTGTGAGGATGAGGCCCAACCAACTGAGCCACACTGGCCAGGCCCCAGGATCCTCTTTACATCAACTTTATGATGATATATTTTACATGCAATATAATGCACTTACGTATATAAGTGTACAGTTCCGATGACTTGACAAATGTATACACTGGTGTAACCACCTCCACAATCAAGATAGAAAATTTTGCCATCACCCCAAAAGGTTTCTTTTGGCCCTTTAGCTATAAGACCTTCCAACCTCATCCCCAGATGATCACTCTTCTGCTTTCTGTCACTACAGATCAGGTTTGCCTTTTCTAGAATTTCACCTAAAAGATTCATACCATAAGTATTCTTTTATCTGGCTATTGGGATATCAGTGTTTTTTAAAACTTCCCTGGATCATTTTAATGAGAAGCAATGGACTAGATGGCCTCTCAGGACCCTTCCGGCGTAAAAAAAAAATGCCATGATTTCATCTGCTAGTCTAGAGGTACTTTATTAAAGTTGCTTTTTAGGAATATAACAAGTCCTACTGCTATAATAATTTGATAATGCTAACACTAATATTTATGGAGCTTTTTCTTATGTGCCCAGGTACTATGCTAAGTTATTCATATGTATTTTTTTATCTAAATCCCCACAACCCAGGAGTTAGGTACTGAAATTATCCCTTTAAGTAGAGGTGAAAACTGACACTAGAGAGATTAAGTGACCTGTGGGAGGTCAAGAAGCTAGCAAGCAGTGAAGTCAGCGTTCAAACCCGGATTTTCTCACCATAAGCAGAGACTTTGCTTTTAATCATGAGATTCTACAAGAATGCCTACAAGGAGAAGTCTCAGCTCCCACTGCAGCAGACATTCTTAAGAAGTCTAAAGTGATACCAGACGCCGGGTTCCCTGTTGATGAGTTCCAGCTGGGGAGACGAGACTGCCTGAAAGGGACATTTAGCATGAAAGGCAAAGAGCCTCTTACCTTAATATAAAAAGTAGACCAGTTTGTTACAAGTGTCAAATGACATTTTAGACAAGAAACAGAAGAGCACAAAGGAGATGGGGCAGAGGCTAGACCTGTGCATGTCTTTCGAGACACACACTAAACAGAGAAAGCAAGGGGAGCTCATCCACTGGTTTCACTGGAGTAAACCAAGTACCTTCCTCAGAATTCAATCCGAATACACACAAAAATCTATTTTCAGTCTTTAAAATACACATCCTTGTCCCTGTGAACAATGGACAATGAGTCTTATTCTGTGGTAAGGAAGTCTCCCCACAGTACCTGGCCTGTGATCAAATATCACCGTGCTCCTGCAGGCCTGTTTGATCCTGTGAGTCTTGGCAGACTCGCTTGGCTGGTTTATAGTCTGTGCTTCCTATAAATTTACTGATGGTTAAAAAATAAAAAAAATAAATAAAAGAAAGAAAAGAAAAAGAAAGCATCAGCACAGTGGGAGCATATGAGTGTTTGTCCTCCTTAAACATAACTCATCTGTGATATCCAAATCAAAGGCTTGTCAGCTGAGGTCCTCCCAGTTCCCTGTTAGAGAATATTAACTTTTGTGATCACCTAAAATAAACAGGCTCCTATTCAAACCCTGGCTGTCTGTGTCTGGCTGTCAAGCCAAGGGCAGTGCTAAGGCGTCAACCTGCCTAGCTGTCTGTCCACTGGGTGACAGTGTTGATCCATCCGAACTAGTAAATGTGCTTTGTCCCTGGGCCAGAAAACTCCGGGAAACACTGCACCAAATGGCATTCTCCGGGCCTTGGGGACGGCCCTGCCTTTCTTCCTGGAGCAAGGCAGAATGATTCTGTTTTCTTTATCTTGCAAGAGAAAATATAGGTGAATTGTTCCGATGTCACCATGTTGGGCTGGATTTCTCTGGGCAAAGCAGTACAGGGAATGGATGTGATTGTCCACAATAAGTGTGCCTGCACTTTCCTGGTAATTGAACAAAGGCAAAAAGCATTGTGGAAACTAAGTTGAAAATTTATTTCAGCTGCTTACTTTAATTGCATTAGGATGGATCGATTCTTTCACCAAGGTGTTCACTTTTTTTAAAATCCTTACCTGAGGATATGTTGTTGTTTTCTAATTGATTTTACAGAGAGAGAAAGGAAGAGGGGTGAGAGAGGAACATCAATGGGAGAGATAAACATCGATTGGTTGCTTCCTGTATGCAACCCGACTGAACCCGCAACCTGGGCTAATGCCCTGACCAGGAATCGAATCCTCGACCTTCCAGTGTACAGGACAACCTTCCACACAACTTAGCCACACTGGCCAGGGCACCATGGTGTTCATTTTTATACAAATGGGCTAGTTTTGGGGATATGCATTCCCCAGGGCTTTGAAGAGGGGCAAGATGGACTTTGTGGAATGTTATTTACAAATTGCCATGCCATGGTTTTACATTATTCTGTCTGTTCTAACATGATCTCTGTCTTCAAGAGGAGAAAAATAAGAACAAATACTATAGTAAAATTCAATGTGACCAGTGGTGTTATAGATCAGAAAGAGTTTGTCCACCTGGCACTAGCAGAGCCAAACACAAAACAGAACTGTAGTAGAGAAATACTGACTATTTTATTTATTTTTATTTTAAAATTTATTTTTGCAGTTTTATAACTTTCTTCGATAATCAGTAGTTAGTTCTCATCCACATTAACTGTTTGTAGATTTTTGAAAGTAGTGACAGGTACAGAGGTAACCAACATATAGAAGCTTGCTTGGGGACTCTTCAATCTCGTTATGTTTTCTGGACAACTGCACCCTAATACCGTATGGGACAGACAGTCCTTATTCCTTTGGCTCAGACAGCTTTGCTGAGCCTGGCGTCAGTGCTGCATCTGCAGTCCCCATCTCCTTCATGACAAATTTCTGGATCTCCTTGAGTGCCCAAGGGGAACACTTCTTGAAACCCACTCCATGGATGTGCTTGTGAATGCTGATGGTGTGTTCTCTGGTCACTACCTCGATGATGGCAAAACGGCCCTTCTTCTCGCCACCTTCTTTCTGTGGGGGAACCATTTGCTAGGCCAGTGATGGCAAACCTTTTGAGCTCAGCGTGTCAGCATTTTGAAAAACCCTAACTTAACTCTGGTGCCATGTCACATATAGAAATTTTTTGATATTTGCAACCATAGTAAAACAAAGACATTTTTGATATTTATTTTATATATTTAAATGCAATTTAACAAAGAAAAATCAACCAAAAAAATGAGTTCGCATGTCACCTCTGACACGCGTGTCATAGGTTTGCCATCACTGTGCTAGGCCCAAGTTGGAAAGAAGTTGGCTGTTTTGTTGGTGAATGGCACTATCCAGGAGAACGGGAAGCTAATGCTCAAAACCCCAACTCCTCGGCATGTATGTTACAGATTATATAGGGCAAAATCACAAGATACTGTGGGTTGAGGGGGGCGGTTCTGTGTTTGTGCTGGGAGCTGATTGGTTGGAGGTGAGGTAACGGTAATGAATCATCTCTTCAGGTCTTTGAGGACAGTCCTG